TGAATTTCTGATTTTGTTTGTTTTAAATAGAAACCACCACATATTAGTGATCCATCCTTTCTTTCTTCCTTCCTTCCTTTCTTTTTTTTTTTTTTTTCCCTTTTTTTCTGAAATCTGGTGTCTGGGCTTTACTCTACATGAAATCTGAATTTCTGGAGATGGAGCCTGAGTATTGGTAGGTTTTTACAAGGCCCCAGATGAGTTTGCTGTGAAGCCAGGGCTGAGAATCACTAATATCTAAACCCTTCCCCAAACCTGCAGATTAGCAGTGTGCTTGACCTCCAGATGACCATCATCTTGAATAGTTCTTTTAACTTGTTCAAGGATTTTCTCTGTTCAGTTCTCATTATATCTTCACAGTTCTGTGAGGCAGGCAGCTCAGATACTGTTATTACCATTGGGCAGATGGGAAGTGAGATATAAAAATGTTGAATGAGTTGCCCAAGACTGGGCAGATAGTTATTGGCAAGGAGGACACATTGTAGCCTTGCTGGACACAGTCTTTTGACTGCAGACCCAGGGCTAGTTCCCCCAACCATGTTGCCACTCTGCTTTCCCAGTCATTGAGCTCGTTACCATTGATAACTAATCCTGATACATAAATTATTACTAGAAAACCAATGAATATGCAAACAAATTCTACTAGTAAGCTTAACAGTGTTTTTAAAAGATTCAAGTTAGGGTCAGCCTAGCAAGATGTCTTTTTCCAAAGTCCATCATACAGTTTTGAATGGGCCTACTTCTATGCACATACTTCCTCCATGCCCACCCCCACACGTCACAGACTGGAAAACTTCAGATAGTTCTCCATTAGGATATTATTTTCAGAAAAGCATTTTTAAAAGATTAAACAGAATTGCAAAGGTAAGGGGAACATCACTGGTCAACTTTCCCCACTTCTCCTGAAAGATGATGAACCTGAAGTCCTTTCTACTTCAATATAAATGAAGTGGTAACACCATGCCAAACACATCACATCCATTATCTTAATTAAATCTTCAGGATAACTCAATAAGATGGGCACTACCACTACCACCATCATCTGCATCCCTATTTAACAACTGAAAAACACTGAAACTTAGAGATGCTAAGGTTGTCCTTGGGGCTAGTAAATTGAGACCTGATGAGACCCAGTAATGCAAGACCTGGGTGACAGTAATGCAAATAGTAGAGGATCAACAAATCCTTAACAACAACAAAAAAAGTCAATGAAGTGATCAGCAAACACTTCTTCCAAGAGGTAGAAGAATGGCATCTGGCTAGGCTGTCACAAATGATGGCTTCAGTGGGCA